AGGGAGGTATGAAAGTGTTCATTGCCGTGCTGTTTGTGAAAAGTAAAACTTTGGAAACCCTTAAATTTCTAGAAAGAAGGGATTGAATATGCAAATTAGATTTATGCAGTGCAGCAATATTCAGACATTAAAAATAATGTAGGAGAAGTACATGTATTGATATAAATAAACATACTAATGATATAAAAAGAGAAAAAAGTGATAGTCTATATGCAGAATTGTGATGGACTAATTGAGACCAGATTTAACTTTTCTGCAGTAAACAATCTGAAATGATAAAAGAAAAACTTTTTCAGTTTTGCAGCATAGGACTGCAGTCCCTGAGAGAAATGAATGAATGACAGGAGCCCTATAGTGTGCCCCACTATCTTCCCGGGCTGTAGTGCAGTGAAGGAGACCCCACGCAGAGAGTAGCTCTTTCCGAGGTGAGAACACAGAGATTGCCATTCAGAGGCCGACTTCCCTGGAGGGCGGGGAAGAGTCGCATCAGGCTGAGGGAGCCGGCCACTCAGAGGAAGAGCTCCGAGAGCCAGCATAGGGGTCCTCTTGAGTCTCTGCCAAAATATTAAGCCACACATTCATAGAGTGAAACTCCACAAATGTGGGCAAAGAATGATCAAGGAGCTTTATGCTGAACAGTTTCCAGAGTTCAAATAGAGGTGGGAAATGGTCAATTCTGACCAGCCAAGAGTGGCAGATTCTTAATTGAATATGTGAGTGTAAACCCATCTTACAGGAAAAAACCTTGCTCTAATAAAACCTAATAACAAGCTTTTGAAAGGACCAGGCTGAATTGCAGGTAACCCAGTGACTTATACAAAGTCCATTGTCTATTAAGACAACAGTTCAACACACAACCATGTAAAATTCATAATACCCATCATCCAATTTAAAAAAATGACTAGAGATGCAAAGAAAAAAAATGGAACCCAAAACCAGGAGAAAAATCAGTCAGTAGAAACCAATTGAGAAATGACAGAGATGACAGAATTTACAGATGGAGACTTTAAAACAGTTGATAGAAATATTTCAAAGATATAAAGGAAAACATGAACAAAACAAGAAGAGGAAAAAAGATATAAAATAGAACCACATGACAAAAAAGAAAATACTTCAGTGGATATTAAAAACAGCAAGTTTAATGGACAGAAAAAAACAGCATATTAGACACCAAAGGAAAGTACATAAGCATACTGGAGGAAATAGTTCCTGACCAAGTAGTTTGGAAAGAAACTATCCAAAGTAAGATTGAGTAAAAAGAAAAAAGAAAAAGAGGCCGGGGAAAAAAGAATCAGACCTTTAGTGACCTGTGGGACATTATCAAGTGGTCTAACATACATGTATGGTCAGAAGTTTTCCAAATTTAATGAGAAGCACAAACCCATATAACCAGGAATTTCAAGTAGCATAAATACCTAGAAAACCATATCAAGGCACATCATAATCAATTCCTGAAAACCAGTGATGAGGAGTAAAATCCCAAAAACAATGAGAAAAGCAAGATATATACAGAAAGGGAAATTTAAAAATATATACAAAAACCAATATATACAAAAGAACAAATAACAGTTTTCTCAATTGGAACTATGCAAACCAAAAAACAGTCAAATGATACCATTAAAAGGCTGGGGGACAATAATTGTTAACCTAGAATTCTATATCCAGAAAATATATCTGTCAAAAGATGAAAGCAAAATTAAGACTTTTTCAGATAAAATTTGTTGGCAGCAAACCTTCATTATCAAATATAAAGGAAGTTCTTCAAGCAAAAGGAAAATACCAGGTGGAAAGTGATTTTCCACAAAGGATATACCATAGAGTGGAGTTTATAGTATGTGTAGATGTTAATGTATGACAATAGTGCAAAAGAAATGGATGTTGTTATAAGAGTCTTACATTATACGAGTTGTATGCTATTTGAAGATAGACTATAAATTATTAAAGATACATATGGTAATGCCTAGAGCAATAACATTTTTAAGTGGAAGTATAGCTAACAGACCCATAGTGGAAATAAAATGAAGTTTTAAAACACTCAGTTCAAAAGAAGCCACAAAAGCAAAAAAAAAAAAAAAAAAAGACTAGTAGAGAACAAAAGGCAAGACAAGACATTTAAACCTGACCATATTGATAATTAGCATATGTGTAAATGACCTAAACATGCCATTAAAAAAGCAGACATAGTTGGACTGCACACAAAACAAGATGCAACTGTATGATAACTACATGATGCACTTTAAATATAAGTATATAGACAGGTTAAAGTGAAAAGGATGGAAGAAGATGCAGCAAACACGAGTCATAAGAAGCTTGGAGTGACTATATTACGGTCAGACTAAAAGACTTCAGAACAAGGAATATTACCAAGGAAAAGAAAGGCTATTTTGTAATGATAAAGCAGTCATTTCGTCAGGAAGACATAGTAAACCTAGGTGTGTATGCACTTCATAGTAGAACTTCAAAATTCCTCATGCAAACACTGATAGGACTGAAATTACAAATAGAAAAAACAACTATAATCAGAGGTTGCAACACTATCAATCAACCTAATTGACGTTTATAGAACATTCAATCCAACCATGGCAAAATGCATTCTTTTTAAGTGCTTATGAAACATGCAGATCAGATTTTGGACCATAAAACAAGTCTATTTAAAAGGATTGTAATCATAGTATGTTCTCTGACACAACAGAATTAATTAATAATCAGTAACGGAAAGATAGCTGAAAAATCCCTAGATATTTGGAAACTAATCACATTTCTAAATAACCCATGCGTCAAAGAAGAAATCAAAAGGAAAATTTAAAAATATTTTGAACTGAATGAAAATGAAAACACAGCATATCAAAATTTGAGGAATGCAGCTAAAACAGTTCTTAGAGGGAAGGTACTAGCATTAATGTTTATATTAGAAAAAATGTTAGGTCTAAAATGAACAATCTAAGCTTCTACCTTAAGATAGACGCTGGGAAAAAAGAATAGATGAAACCTAAAGGAAGTAGATGCCACCTCACTAGGGAAGATAGGGCACTGGCAAATAAGCACAGGAAGGCAGCCTCAGCATCATTTTTCATATTCATAATAGCCCCAAACTAGAAACAGTTCACATGTCCATCAACAGGTGGTTAAACAGGTTCCAGCTCATCTACACAGCCAAACAGCACTCAACAATAAAAATGAACAAAGTAATCGTTATATACAACAGCATAGATGAATCTAAGAAGCATTATGGTGGGCAGAAGAATCTTACATACTGTGTGAGTTGTGTGAAGTTCTGGAAAAGGCAACTCTGATCTTTACTGACAACAAACCTGTGGTTTCATGGCGCCGGAGGTGAGAGAGGAATGGGAAAGAACCTCTGGGGTTCTTTCAGCATTAACAGAATCAACAGCATTCTGTGGCTTAATTTTGGGGATTGTTTCACACGTACACTCATCAAAACTCAGAGTTGTGTACATTTTATTGTATGTGAATTATATTCAAATAGTTCATTGAAAAATGCAAACTTTAAAAATCATTTTTATAGTGTAAGTGCATCTCCACGTGCATATACATGCCATGCTGCAAAGGACCCAGAAGGTCAGATACCAAAGGGTTAAGTTGAAACCAGAGGCCACAATTCTCATCTAGCAGTTTAATGAGGAACCTTAAAAAATGGGATACCAGCTACTGTTGCTTTGAAAATACAAAACACTGCAATAACCATTACTCATTTTTATATAGATAAGGATATAAGTTGGGGAGTATTTAGAATACATTAACACTGATGGCACAAAGGATATAAACAGTAACTAGTTTGGGATAAAACTCCTGTTTTGTCTAGTCTCTTCATCAAGTTGAGTTTCCATCTTAGCCTATTTTAGTTTGCCAAGGGCCTGTTCATGTATTGCCTTGAAAGAAGGAATGTTAGTTACACGAAGTTATATTTGTTAGAATTTTTTTGTATGATACTATTAGCTTGAAATTTTAAAGGTTATTTGTATCAGCTTTTCTGTGATGATTAACCTACAGATTATGATTTCACAAATCTAGTTCTAGTTAATCAAACCAGTTAAAAAGACTGTACAGACTTTCTTACAATTAAAACCATAGTTATTCCCTCTTCTAAAAAGGATTTTTTAACATTAGTAAATAAAACTAAGAAATTAACTTTGAAACACAATACAGGATCTTGATTCTCCTTGTCAGTCAAAAGAAAAAGACAAGTGAAAGAAATTTCGTTTGGGGAAAGTCACAAAGTATTTCAAGCAGTTACATAAAGGCTCATAACATACATCTGAAATGGCTTTTACTGTTTATTAGATATGCTCAAACTTGTGAAATTTTTAGCAACCCAGCCCTACTGCCTCCCAGCACAGAGCCCCTTAGCATCACCATGTATGTTCTCCCTGGCTGACTTCAAACCATTCTAGACCTACTAAACCCTCTTTCTCTCCTCATACCCACATGTTCTTTATATCCCCCTTTCCTTTCTTCCTCTCACCATTTCTCTTTCTTACGACTTTCCTTTCTGCCCCTCCTTCCCCTCTCCCTCTCCATAATCCACAGTTTATGTCTTTTGCCCTCTAAGCTAACCCAGACCTCAGCAGGAGAAATTCCTGTATCACAGCCTGTGTGAGTTTTTAGTTTGACTTCCCAGGGCTGGAGGGTCACACATTCATGCAGGATTGTAAATGGCTCTGTGTTCGCAAACATCCGTTATTGACCTAACAGCAAAATCTGCCATGTAGAGCCCTGGGCAGGGATCTGTCTCCCATGTATAATTTCACCTTGTTTCCACTTGTGTAATAACTTAACTGTTTACATTAAGAGGGAAGTTTTGGTCACATTTAATGAAAATTATATTTTGGGTCTAGAACTTTTATCAAAAGTTTATCTTCACAGTTTTGTAATTGTAGTTCACATTTAATTACCACCCAAAATGTAAACTATTCTTTGCTTAAAGGCTGTAGAAGTGATTATTGCAGATAAATCTTATTTCTTAAACCTTGTGTTCACAGGAAGTCCAATATCCGTCCTGGAGTCATCTATAAAAGCTATTTCAATCTCAAAAGAGACCATTTCAGTGGCACCAAACGCAGCCCAGGTACTGATATGAAATGCTCTCTAAGGGATATTCATTCCAAATTGAGTGGAAGTAACCATTTTACTCATTAAGAAACATTTGGGTCACATTTCAGCTTAAAAAGCACTTAAATGCGCTTTTTAAAATATGCTACTGTGAGTCTATTTTATCTACACAAAGTAATTGAATTTTCCAGAAGGTGTAGAAATTAAAACAAATACATATTTTTTTACCCAATAAATTGGAAAAGATTTTTCTCTGAAGAGTAATAACCATTGTTGATGAGGGTAGAGAGAAATGGGTATTCCTGTACACTCATACTTTTAATGGAAATTGCACAGTGTTTGGGAACACAATTTGGACATGAGATGGAATAATGTATTCAGAATGTCTGAAACCTAATCCATTCTGAATGAGTGACAGTCCAGAGTGTAGAAATCTTAACTCCAAAAAAATCTTAGGCTTGTAAAGACTGATCCAGCTTAACATATTCTTGAAGCATCCTTGTGTTCTTATGTTTTCGATAAACGGATTGAAGAATGGGAAACATATATACAGCTGATGCTTGAACAACATGGGGACTGGGGTGCTGACTCTCAACTCTCCCACAGTTGAAAATCCACATATAGCTTTTGACTCCACAAAAACTTAACTATGAACAGCCTACTGTTGACCAGAAGCTTTAGCGTTAATGTAAACAATCAATTAACATGTTTTGTGTATTAGTATGTACTATATACTATGTTCTTACAATAAAGTAAGCTAAAAAGAAGGGGGGAAATTTTTGTCAAATTGTTAAAAACTTTTATTGTCTCCAGATCTTATTGGGAAAAAACCCATGTATAAGTGAAACTGTGCAATTCAAACCCATGTTGTTCAAGGGTCAACTGTAGTAAAACTGTAGCTGCCCACTTAAAATAATCAGAACCACCACTCCATGTCGCTGAGCTTTTTCACAAATGTGTTCTAGGTTCTTGAGTCCTTTGAGCACCTGCCACCCCTTCCACCACCACCATCACCGCCACCTGAAGTGGTGGACAGAGTCCGAGACACACTTCCGCCCCAGAAGCCTGAGCTCAAAGTGAAACGGGTACTGAAGCCCAGGGGCATCGCCCTGACCTGGAACATCACCAAGATCAATCCCAAGTGTGCTCCGGTGGAGAGCTACCACCTCTTCCTGTGCCATGAGAACCCTAGTAACAAGTTGATCTGGAAGAAAATTGGAGAAATTAAAGCTTTACCACTCCCAATGGCCTGTACTTTATCTCAGTTTTTAGCTTCCAACAAATATTATTTCACTGTCCAATCAAAAGATATTTTTGGGCGATATGGACCATTTTGTGATGTAAAATCTATCCCTGGGTTTTCTGAAAACCTTACCTAAAAGAGAAGTCTTCAATAATTACTTATTGTACTGCATTTTGTTTTGTTTTTTCACAGTTGTTTGTTTACAATGTTTCTGTAACACTATTTGCCATCTTAAAGGGCCAGTTCAGATTGTGAACCCTTTGTATAGGGACAGCCATCTTCCCTGTGTTGTAAGTGACCTCAAGTTTCATGAATCTCTGATTTGCATTCAGTAAGGACTTGGAGTGGGTATGTTCTGAAACATACACTACACTATCAGAGACCCACGTCGCTAAGCTGTGCTGCGTACAATGCCTTTAGTGGCTCTGGGGCTGCTGATACAGAAGCCCTAGTTTACAAGTAACCGTGACCTCTGTTGACAGCCAGCTTTTGGTTACCTGCTTGTGGTCTGTATAGGTACAGAAAAATCAGCTCTACTGAGACCAGATCATTCCTACGGTGCATCTCCACCAAGAGTTTATTAAATGTCTTCTCATTCTGTTCAAATCTAAGGGCTATTAATGTGTGCCCTCCACGTCCCCATTACCCCAACCCCCTCCAATTTTTGGCTGTGTCAGTCATTTGGGGGAAAACAGGAGGTTTTCCCTAAATTTGTATATTTAGATACATAATAAAGTTAAATATTGTGTGCTGTGTACACAGTACAGAATGTCTTATAAAAGCATTTTTCAACCTATTTCAGCTGAAGAAAATGGAGTTGTCTGCCTTAGATTTAAGGCTTTAATTTGTTGACTCCCTAATTCTACCCTTGTTTCCTGGCGGTCGTCATTACCTGGAGAAAGAACGTATCACTAAGGGGCTCCAACAGATGTGTCCTGGGCATGTCTCTGTGTGAGGAGCACGAGTGAGGCTGACCCTAGCACAAGGAGCCCTGGCAACTCAGTAGGTAGAGAAGCTGGAGGCAGGGGGTAGTGGCATGTAGGCAGCTGTTAGAACTTGTGGCCCCAGGGAAGGGGAAGACAGGAGGGAAATGGGATCAAGGCTTCACAGTAAACAAGGAGCCGCATCCTGGACTTCTGGAGAATTCCGCTTGAAAAGCAAGGGGGTCTTCCTAGCAATGAGCCCCAATCCTGTGAACTTCTGTTTGGCTTATAAACCCTAGATAAGGCAGCCCCGGGCAGTACCCTCTCCTGGAGCCCCTCCCGTCTAGAGTGAGTCTTTCTTTCCTTTTCACTCCTCATTAAAAGCTTTGCTGGTTGTTTCATACCCTTGTCTGTTGGCTTCCGTCATTGGCACCTCCAAGACACAGTCCTGGGAGACACAGCACCTCAGCTGGTAACGTCTGGGCGCTTGTGCAGGATCACCCTGGAAGGGTGGGTATCAGCTGCAACCAGTCCTTCACTTTCCTTACAATGACGCATCACCTGCTGCACATCACACTGGGCACCCGACAGCCTTTTAAAATGATTAGCGTGGCTTCTGACCTTAAAGACTTGGGTGTGAGGTTCCTCTGAGTTCTCAGTTGGTCCCCCGTCTCCCTCAGGAGTCAGGAATGGTGGCTGAGTGGGGAACCTGAAGCTCTCCTTGGGTGCAAGGTGCAGGTCAAAGCCACCCCTTGGCGGATGCCCTCAGGTCTCCTGTCAGACCCCGGCAGCCCAATCGGGCATCTGTTCTTGCGGGCGGGTCTGCCCTGAGTATCCTCCCCTGCGAGAGCGGTCCGGGCGACCGCGTCCAGCTCTCCACAGAAGCCCCTGATACGGACCGAGCATTCCTTTGATTCTCCCTTGACTGTCTATCATGAAGTAAATGGTGTCCGCCCGGGACCCCTCTGGTGTCTCCTCAGGAGGCAGGAGAACTGGGCCGCACCAATTGAGTTGAGTGCTGGGCACAGCTCTTCCTGCCCGTCCCTGGTGTCCGATGGGGAATGGAAAAGCAGGTGTCCGGGCAGTCCCCCCAAACAAAGCAAATTATTCCCTGGATCCCGACCCCAGCCCTGGGATGCTGACTCGGTGGACAGCTGTGTGTGCGGAGGTTTCTCCCTGCATACCAGGTGGAACACCCATCCTGACCAAGTGGGGTGCCTATTTAGGGCACTGGGCTAGATTCCCCAAAAGCCCTCTCTCACAGGAATTCCAGCAAGTCTGGGTTGAACCCGCACCCACCTTACCAAGCATGGAAGCACCAACGGTAAGCCCCTATAAGGAGGGGAGTCCCACAGAGGACTGCTGGTGGCTCACCCGTACATCTTGAAATATTTGAAACAAGGCCTCAGTGAGTTGCAGTCACAGTTGCTGGAAGAAACATGGCTCTTCCTGCCCCACGTACGCTGTCTCCTGGCCGCACCGAGGAGTGGGTGTGGCCGCGGACCTTGGTGTTTGAAGGACATCCGTGGGCCACACTGTACGAGGTATGGGGGAGGGTCTGACGCACAGGTTACAAGTTACCCCCTGGATAGGAAAGTGGCTTTTAAACTGACTGCTTCGCTGCTGGAGGGGACAACAGCCATATTGGCAGGGACTTTGGACATGCAGATGTGGCCAATAAATACCACAATTTCTGTTGAAGGCTGAAAGGGATGCTCTGCCAGTGTCTTCAGACGCCCTGGTCTGGTATCAGACCAGGGAAACCGCCCCTGGCAGCCACTGTTTTGTCACAAGATGACAAGGTGGCTTGTATCCTCCCAGAGAACCGGGGCTTGCCATCGATGGTGTCTCCGTCTGCCCTGTCTTTCCACCCAGGTAGACAGCAATAGTATGGTGGCGTGGGCCCAAACTTTGGCCCAGAAACATAATGTCTCCCACTGCTGGCCGTGTGTGGAACTGCCCACGGATATCACTGCCAGACTGCCACGGAAAATCATCCCCGCCAACCTGTCCAAGTGGGAGTGAATGCCTTTGAGCATGGAGTCACAGTGATGCTGAAGGTGAAGCAAAACAGTGCACAACCAAGCAGTTGATCTGACAATCAGTACACGCTCCACGCAGAATGGTACCGTGAATAATGGGCGGGGATGGATGCCTGGTATACATGTGACCTTGCTACCCATAGCTCAGCTGTGCATGGAACAGCAGGTTTCCACACCCAATCACATGGTTGGCTGGTTACCCAGAGAACTGTGTGCCAATGCCAGTGTTGATCACACCCCTAAGTGCTGGTGGGACCGTCGCACCAATGTGGGCGCTGTGCCAACCAACCTCCTACTGGGAGAAAACGTTTGGATATGTGGGGAATATGGCTGGCTGGTCCTATCTCCCGGAGAACTGGACAGGCCGTTGTTCTTGGGGCCGCCCATACTTATCAGGACAGATTCTACAGACCTTACCGAGGCCCACATATAATTGGGATGCTGTATATTCCCATTGGCATTATCCCAATCGGACAGAATGGTGGTTTGAACCCTTGGCTATTTTATTTCCAAGAGCCAGCACTATAGATGTAGAATTAAAAAATATAAATAAAAATTACAAAGCCCTGGCACAGCATGTTGCTCGTGCCCTGAATATAACGAGGTCCTCGCTGGCCTTATTGCTAGATGACGTCACCCAAATGCAGAAGGTGGTTTTACAAAACAGACTGGCTCTGGATATACTCACAGCTGGGCAAGGGGGCACCTGTGCCTTGCTGCACATTGACTGCTGTGTTTATATCCCAGACCACCAGCAGCAAACACAAGCCGCGCTCCAGGAAACAGATGATGAAGTGCCTCGGATACAAGCCTCATCCCAGGAGCCCCCATCTACGTGGTGGTCACAGCTTGGTCCCACTTGGTGGTGGTTCCTACACGCGGCCTCCTTGTCTTTTCCCGTTCTTTCTATTGTTTCTGTGGCTCTGGGCACAGGGCTCTGCTCTGTATGCAAGAAAGCAGCAGGCAGCTGCTGTCCTGTAGAAAGGGGTGCAATGTAGGGAAGCAAGCCCCTCAGTTTCCCTAATGTTCTATGAGGACAGCTGTCTGCTGCTTCATTCCAGATACATCTGTAAACCTTGAAAACACAGTGTGTTCTACCCATGAGTAAGGAGCTAGATAAGAGCCTTGAAGGCTGGACACCAGGCCATGAAGGCCACACACATGTGCGTTTTCAATACTTACATAGCCATGACTCAGCACTATAGCACTATAAAAAGTACAACTTAATGCAAATACAGTGGCTTCTTTTGAGCACCCTCCATGACGACTCCCACTTCCTTCTTTGCTCTCCGCATCACCCCAAGACCTCAACTGAAGCCCCAGGGCCCCATCATGTGCCTGCCCTCCTGGAGCTGACCTAGTTAGGGACACACGAGATTAACAAAGAGAAAAGTCGCACATGAGATTTTCAGAGCAATGCAATGTGGTCCGTGAGGAACATAAGCAGGGAGGTACTGTAGACAGGGAAGGGGGACAGGGGAAGGCTATGTGAGAGGCTAGTTAGGGAGGGCTTCTTGAAGAAGGGGGCCCTTAAACTGAGGGATGGAGCATGTGAAGGAGTGAGGCGTGAGGGTGTTGGAAGCTCTGCTCCCCAAATTGCAGTTCTTTGATCCCAAAGTAAATGCTCCTTTGCCTGTCATTGCAGCTCTTATTTTCAGATCAATACTCACAAATGGTTCATAAAACATTTACACACACACCGACATATACACATGCACATAGTAAGAGAAAGATAACTGGAAATGTGACCAAAATGTTAATAGTTGGTGAATCTAAGTGGAAAATAACTTGGGTGTTCATTTCATTACTCTTGCAACTTTTCTGTAGGTTGAAATTTTTCAAAAGAAAAAGTTGGGAGATAAAACAATGGGTTATGGATCACGGGAAGATGGCGGCATGAGTAGTTCAGAGGAAATCTCCTCCCCAAAACATATATATTTATGAAAATGCAATAAATACAACTATTCCTAAAAGAGATACCAGTGGATGCAGTATAACAGCCAGGATACATCTACATCTGTGAGAACTCAACATCACACAAAGGGGTAAGATACAAGCTGCGGCCAGGCGGGACTCGAGCACTCCCCCACCCCAAAACCTGGAGGGAAGAAAGGAGTTGGAATGGGGAGGGAGTGAAAGCCCAGGACTGCTAAACAACCGGCTCTGGAAACCCGCACCCGGAACGCAGACACAAGGTGCACGGGATGCTGGATATTAGAGAAACGGAAAAGCAAAACCTGTGGGCAGGTCCTCGCAACCGGCACCCCTGAGACAAAAGAAAAGCAAGTGCTTTCTGCAACTCTTAAAGAGACAGGGACCCCATAGCTGGATGAAGTTGTCACAGCAGCTGGGAATCCCGGGGAAACTTAGGTGCCCTAAACCCTGGGGAGGCAGTGCAGCTCTGAAGCCCCTCATGGCACTAAGCAGCCTGCCAGTCATTCCTCCAACTGG